GTGTAATAGTATTTTATCGAAGAATGTGTAATTGAAATAATGTAAAATCACTGTTTGACAATTTTTTTTTTTTTTGTAAATGCTATTCAAACAGGGCTTTAATGTTTTTGAAATATATTCGTTCACCCTATGACCTAGACCTAGCATGTAAGGAGTAGCCTAACAAGTTGAATTGGTAGAGTAGATGTTGTAGAGAAATTACATTAATCAATTACAGAACATCTTGTATAGAAAATCTTATGGGGAATGTACCTCATACGCCTAGAGTCTATTCACCTCAAATTGCGACTGCAGTGCATCACATTTTCTCATTTCGTCCATGAGGGATTGAGCTCTACACGGGTTTGATGGATTGACCAGGTAGGTAAAGGGACATGAAGTGCGGGCATAGATTTTCTAATTACGTTACTGTCACAGGATCATTTTTAAAGCCTCATTAGATGATGCGTAACACACATGATGGATTCATAATAATGGTGATGAAGCCATCTTTTCATGTCAAGATCCTACTGGCAACTCCACGAGAACACCATGCATCCAGCCGCACCAAATCATTCTTATCGAAATCTTGGCTTCGCTTCAAACTTCATCTCTATACTCAAACCACTTTCAGATACAACAAATAATGAAATATACGTGTCCGAAAAAATACATGCAAACCTTGCATGTTAGGACACCCGACCCCACCCTTCAACACGTACCCCTCTTCCTCGCCTATATAATCACCCACCGAAATCAGAAAACTGCATTCAATTCATATATAGCTTCTCTAATATTTTGAAAATTCAAGAGAGTTTGCAAATGGCTGAGCAGTATCAGCAACAACATTATGGGCAACAGCAGAAGGGTCAGCAGCAGCAACAGAAGCAGCCGGTGTCCCACCAGGTGGTGAAAGCGGCGACAGGCGCCACAGCCGGCGGTTCCCTCCTGGTTCTCTCCGGTTTGACCCTTGCCGGAACTGTGATAGCTCTCAGTCTGGCCACTCCCTTGCTGGTCATTTTCAGCCCAGTTCTGGTGCCTGCTGCAATAACAATTTTCATGCTGGGTTCCGGTTTTTTGGCTTCGGGAGGCTTCACAGTGGCAGGCGTAGGAGTTTTATCATGGATTTACAAGATGGTGACTGGAAAACGACCAACTGCGGTGGATCAGCTGGCGGCTAAGGCGCAGGAGATGAAAGGCAAGGGGGAACACTATGGGCAGGAACGCACCTCCGGTTCTCAATCTTCTTAAGCTCTCTGTTTCTGTGCGTTTCCATTTTCATGGAGTCGTTCTGCAGTTATGTTTGATTTGGAGTTGTTTGTTAAATTTAAGAGATGAAGGTGCGTGAATGGAGAAGTGATCGTCTCTCTCTGTATGGATTTCTTGAAATTTTGTAATCAAGTATCTGTGTTTTCCCTACAATACGCCAATTCCATGAATTAATAGCCTTGCTTAA